CGTCCAAACACCAAACAGAACACTTGGCCACCTCCTCACCCCAATCAAAGGCCTTTGGGGTCTCCTAGTCCTCTCACACAGTTCTCCCTCCACACAAATCTCTGAACCTCAAGGCCTTTAAGACCCTGTGAGGTAGTCCTTGAGTCGTTCATTGTCTACAGGGACCACTGCTGACACCATGCCACGTCATGCGGAGGGTGGTTCTTTCTTTAAGAGTCATGCCATCTCCCTAGGCTATACCCTGGGGGGCAAGGCACAGATGCCTGCTTATCTCAGGCCCCACCCCCCTCAACTATCTGAGGTTCCTATCAATCTTGTCCTACACCCAGCTGCTGGGATTAAACCCAAGGGGAGGGGGGGGGTAGCGGTCAGGGTTTAGACCGTTCTCACAAGGGAGCTCAACAGTGTTGCCCCCTCTTGTTCCTCTTTTCCAATTCTCTCTTTCCCTCCCTCTTTGGAATAGAAAACTCTCTTCTGTCAGTGCTGCTCAAAGTTCTGGTTTGCAACAAGAGAAGGATTGGTGCCAGTGCGTAAATCAACACATTGCTTCCTTCATCAAGGAAGTCTGGCTACTGGGGGAGAAAAAAAGTGCCAACTGAACTAAACAGTGTTCCTGGTAATAAAGTTGATTTACCTTCTGTTATGAGCTCCTTATCTCAGTAATAAACAGTTCTCAGGAGGCAGCCGATTTTGCTGTGCATTCCTCCCTGTTCTGTGGTTTGTGGATAAACATTATGCCCAGCTTCCTTCCGGAGTTGGCTTTTGATGTTCAAAGCCAGCTTTGGGGATTTAAAAAAAACGTCACCACTCTCTGGTACCTAGTCTTTCAAGACTATTGTTTCAGCTATGAGTTTAAAACAACCCCATTTAACCATCCAGTTGCCTTCTTTGTTCCGTCTGTGTCTACCTCATCCTGAGAATCGTTTTTTTTTAAAAATCACTGCTGAGAGGGAAAAAGCTAAGATTTCCACCTGGTGCTGTTGAGGTTTTTCAATGTATTTCCTGTTTCCCCCTTGGACCATTGCATGGTTTTTAAGGTAAAGACTTATTCTATAAATGAGAATTCATTTTCTGAGTATTCGGATTAATCAAAATTTGCCTAGGGCTTTGTGTAGATGATTTTTTTTTTTATTGCCAGTCATTTTGAATCTGTTCTCTTCTAACAGCACACATCGTCAGAAAGGTGTCTGACTTCCAATGATGTTAATTAAGAATTTGTTATGATATGAATAAATGCTTCTGATAACATGAGCTGAAAAAAGTGGGTTACAATATTGGGTTGCAGTGTGAGAACGACTTCAACAATAACCCTGAAAAGGCTGGGAAAAACAATAGAAATAAGTAAGTTTATTCATATTTTTAATTTATATAGTATTCTTTAATAGAGAAGATAATTTTATTTTTCAAGGGGACTGAATTTCCCAATTGACTTACAACTTGAGCAACACATTAATCTTGTTTATGTTTAGCCTTACATTGCTCTTTAGATGGTTTATCTCCCCAGCTTCTTTTACAAGTATCTTTTCTACAATATTTGAATAACTTTAAAAGGTAATCAGACCCTTCAATTGTCATTCCTTATTATCATCACCAACCCATTTACGACCCCTCCCCTTATACCTGATCATCATTCTAACCCAGCCTGCAGGTACCCAAATTTGCCACATGTCAAGGAGTATGTGTGTATCCCCACACACTGCACATGCATTGCTGATTCATGTGCAAATGTACTCCCAGTTTGCAAGACTGGCACAGTGCTATTCTGTGCCATGCGCTCTCTTACTTTGCTCATCCAGTGCAATGTCTTAAAGATTTATCCTATTACCAAAGATGTCTTATTTCCTATCTCAGAGACAGTGAGGCATCTCAGATTCCTTACAGAGGCTATGAAGTGTCTAGAATTTAATTGTGAGATGACCCAGACCCTCAATTACCAGGGTCTGAAAAAAACTGTTTGTAGATTTATTGAGGTGTATTTCACATAGTACAACATTCAGCTATTCAACGTCTACAATTCAGTGGTTTTAGTGTATTCGCAACGTTGTGCAACAACCACTACTATCTAATTCCAGAAACTCTTCATCACCCCAGAAAGAAACCCAATACCCATTAGCAGTTATTTCCCTTTCCTTTCTCCCCCTAGACCTTGGCAACCGCTAATCTACTCTCTGTCTCTACGAATTTGCTTATTTTGGACATTCCATATAAGTAGAATCTTACAACGTGTCATCATTTGTGACTGGCTTCTTTCACTGAGCATAGTGTTTTCAAGGTTCACCCCCAATAAAACATGTATCAATATTTTTTCCATTTCCTGGTTAAATAATATTCCATTCTGTGGATATTCAGTATTTTGTTTATCTATTTGGCCTCTAGAATTTGAAGTGCATCAATTCTAGTGCCTAAAATACAGTCAGTTCGGACAGCATTGTGTTACATATTTTCCGTCAAGTCGTTAGAGTAAGTTATGTCTATTTTCTTTAAAAACAATGTAGGGATCTCAGCAAGATGAAAGGGAAAAAAGAAAGGAAAAGATTTGGGGAAAAATACGAAATTTCTGTATCTTTCTCTTCTTTCAGAAAAATGGAATTCTATGCCAACCAGAAATGCTTTCCCACATTTTTCCTGTGCCTACACATCTCTGTGTACTTTCCTAAGGCCCGAGAATTCAGAGCACACGGTGCTGTGCCAGCTGGGCGCTGAGTCCCCAGCAAGTGTTGAAAAAGGACAATGAATGAATGAAAGTCACCCCCTTGCTCATTTCCTCTGGCTCTCTAACTTGCCCCCGCCCCCCACCATGCTGGTTGCTGCATTGCAGGTGGTTGAGGAAGCAGCAGCTGGGGGAGCTGCAGAAGAGGTCAGCGGTTAAGCTTAATTACAAGTCAACACCATTTCTCTGGGACTGCTGCGGGAAGGGCGAGCAGATAAGATCAGTGGAAGTGCTTAGAGGGCCTTGGAAGGCAGACCATCTACAAATATAGGATTGGCTTTTATTGTCGCTGCCGTTAATAAAACAGATGTTCTCAAAGCATTCCTCCAACCAGTGACAGGACTTGGAAAATTGCAGGCTCTTTATTGGTTGCTGAAACCAAATAAAAATCAGATTAAAGTTTAATTCATCTCATAATTTTCTCCATGGCAGCTCTCCTGGGCCAGCCTGGAGGCAGAGCCAGCCTCCTCCTCCTCTATGGCGAATCTCACCTTCAGCCCGAAGCCCCCAGAGGTCAGCCACTCCTTGTCCCTCTCCCAGAGGCCCACTGTGGGTGATGTTCACAGCTGGAGAGGGGGCCAGGGCTCAGGCCAAGATGTAAAAACACTGGCAGCTGCTGGATGATAGCAGAGACGACTTCCTTCTTCTTCTCCCTAAGGTCTCCATAGCAACCAGGGGAAGCTGCTAGGTATCCCAGCTATGTGACCTGGGCCATGCATATCCCCCAGGCTCCGGAGGGGGCTAGACCAGAAACCACATAGACCATGTCCACCTTTATAATTTTTATACCCGGGACTGTGCCTGAGATGATGGGGGTTCAATTAATAGTTCACACATTTATTCAACACATTTTCCTATTCACTTAATGAAAGAATGAATGGGGGAGGGCACAGCTCAGTGGTAGAGCGCGTGCTTAGCTTGCACAAGGTCCTGGGTTCAATCCCCAGTACCTCTGTTAAAAATAAATAAATAAATAAATAAATAAATAAACAAACCTAATGACCTCCCCCCTTAAAAACAAAACAAAACAAAAAGAACGAATAAATACACGAAGTCATTTTCTAGCTGCTTCCTTTTTAAAGCCTCCATTATTCTTTCATCTTCTTTCTTCATTCCTGCCTACCTGCCTTCCTTTTTTTTTTTTTTTTTCCTATTGTATAACAAAAAGTCTAAGACTCCTGGGGTATCAGTCCAACCTTGGCAGGTGATTCCACACGTGCTGGGAGTTAACAGCCTGTCACTGACTTCGTACACTCAGAATTGGGTTTTGCCCTTTGAAAGGCATCGAGTGCTCTGCAGGTACAAGCCAATGACCTCTTCATCCCAACCAGATAAAACACAAAGACGAGGAGAGAATGGTGATGTAGCCAGGAGGTGAAGGAGCACACTGGCACCAAGCATAGTCTTCAAGGTCAAGAAGAGCCTCAAGAAAAACCGTTGCGTTGGCTGCAATAGGAAAGTCAGAGCTTAAAACCCAGGCAGAGAGACAGGTCCTCCTCAGAATTCAGCCCCTGCTCATTCACTCGCTCAGCTGTTCATGTAACATCCCTGTGCCTGCACAGTGGGCTGGACCATGCAGAAATGAATGGGACTAGAAGGCTGTCAGAGAGGGGTCTGCAGGCTCATAGGGAGGCCATGTGGAAATGAATTGTTGCCCCACAGCAGAGACATCAAGTGCAGATGGTACAACGGAGGCGGTGGAGAGATTCCAAGCGAGAACGACTTGACCCAGTGTGGGTTTTGTAGAGTGAAGACCAGCTCAGGAGAGGAGTGTGAGAATATGAGGATGGAAAAGAGGAAACAAATTAGAGAGAGACTGTTTCTCAATCTATCTTCAGTCTCTGAGGTAGACACTCCCTCCACCAGGCCTTTTGTCTCCGCACAAATTCTGAGGCCATCCTAAACTTCGTATTTGTGGTAATGTTGATCTTTGCACATTTGAATGGGAGTTTTTCTTTAAAGGTCAAGAGACAGTCATTGTATATCTTTTGGCATAAGGTTAAAGAGAAGAGGATACGGAAGTCATGCCATTGTTAAAAGAGGGTTTTCACTTGGTTCTAAAAAACATAAAGCGTGTTCTGAAAATGCATACAAGCCTAACAGCTTCTAGTTCCTCTTTCAGAGAAGTAGCTGAGCAGAGTTAAGCGTTCTGATTTTAATTCATGAACCAGGAAATCTTTCCTGGCAGATCCTGGTGAGTTTCAGTTTGGCTGCTGACAGATAGAGAGATGTGTTTTCTACAGTGCCTTCCCCTCCATTCCATGTCCCATTGCCCATAATCTTCAGAACAGGCCACAGACGCTGACAGAGTGTTGTCACCCCACAGTCTGAAGAGCTGAGATTTGCTCCACAGATGGCCCAGAGCCAGAGAGGGACTTTCTCAGCAGCATGTCCTGGTCACATGGTGGCTACATGTAGGCTGAGGGTCACTCCCTGAGAGAGATTTTGTCTTTCTACCCTTCTCCCTCACCTCTAAAAAAATTTAGCACTTTTCTGGACAAGATTGGGCTTACATCAACGTAATGCTAAAGAAGGCTGTTAAGAAGGAGAAAATCCGGGAAGGAAAAAAAGAAGGAAATGTTGGAAGAGAAATTGGAGAAAGGGGAGGAGGAAGATAACGAAGAAATTGGAGAAGCCAAGAGTTAGGGGAAGAAAAGAAGAAGAAGAAGGAGAGATAACAATAGTGCTGACTTTCTAGGGTTGTTGGGAAGATGAGAGAATGTTTTTCGGAGTCTTTGCACGTTACCTCCATGGAAAACTCTTTCCTCGGTGTTCTCACTTTCTCCATTCACTTCAAAAGTCAGCTCCCAGCGAGGTGGTCCTTGCTCTCCCCGTGTAAAAGCCACTCCCTGACATCGCTCTCTAATTGCTTAACTGGTGCTACTGCTCTTCACAGCTGTAAGTACCATCTGCCATCTTATATGTGCATTGGTTTCTTTTTCTTCCCTCAAAAGAATCTAAACTTCACCAGTACAAGGACTATTTCTTTTTTCCTTTTCTTTGCGGCGGGGAGGGGTAATTGGGTTTATTTATTTTACTTATTTTTAGAGGAGGTACTGGGGATTGAACCCAGGACCTTGTGCATGCTAAGCATGCACTCTACCTCTTGAACTATACCCTCCCCCCATTTTCCTTCTTTTTTTTTTTAAATGGCTATAAATGTTTATTTCAACTTAAAAAAAAAAATGAAGCTTAAGCATTTCCAAAACTCCTGCAAACTAAGAGCAGCATCCTATAAGAAACACCTGATAGAAAGATCTGAAACTCTTTGTCCAATTATTTTTTTCTAACTTGGTGATTAACTCAACTCTGTCCAGAGCATTTGAATAACATCTTGGAAATTGTTAAAGTATATTGCCTACCATTTTCTTTCTTTTTCTTTTTCTTATTGAGGTATAATAGACATACAACACTACATTCATGTCATGTGTACAACATGGTGATTCAATATTTGTATACATTGCAAAATGGTCACCACAATGTCTAGTTAACATCTCTCACCGTACATAGTTACGATAACCTTTTTTCTTATAATGACACTATTAAATCTACTCTCCTAGCAACTTTCAAATATGCAACACAATATTATTAACTATTGTCATCATGCTGTGCATTACATCCCCATGACTTATTTTATAACTGGAAGTTTGTACCTTTGACCCCCTTCACCCATTTTGCTCACGCCATTACCCCCTGCATCTGGCAACCACCAATCTGTTCTCTATAGCTCTGAGTTCAAGGTTTTTGTTGAGCTTTGTCTTTTTGATAGTGGCCATTCTAACAGATGTGAGGTGATATCTCACTGTGGTTTTGGTTTGCATTACCCTGATAATTAGTGATGTCTTTTCATGTACCTGTTGGTCATCTGTATGTTTTCTTTGGAAAAACGTCCATTCAGATCTTCTGCCCAGTTTTTAATCAGAGTGTTTGTTTGGTGTGTGTGTGTGCGTGTGCGTGTGCGTGCACGTGTGTGTATGTTTTGCTACTGAGCTGTATAAGTTCTTTATATATTTTGGATATTAACCCTTTATGTGGTATATGATTTGCAAATATTTTCTCCCATTAAGTTGGTTACCTGTTCATTTTGTTGATATTTCCTTTGCTGTACAGAAGCTTTTTAGTCTGATGTAGTCCCACTTGTTTATTTTGCTTTTGGTGATAGATTCAAAAAATCATCATCAACTGGGGAGGGATAAATTAGGAGTTTAGGATTAACAGATACACACTACTGTATACAAAATAGATCAACAAAGACCTACTTATAGCATAGGGAACTATATTCAATATCTTGTAATAACATATAATGGAAAAGAATCTGAAAAAGTATATATATAGATATAGATACATATATACGTATATATCTCATACTTCCCTTAATATGATAATTTCCAGGTCCACCCATGTTGCTGCAAATAGCATTATTTCATTCTTTTTTATGACCGAGTAATATTCCATTGTATATATATACAACTTCTTTATCCAGTCATCTGTTGATGGACATTAGGTTGCTTCCATGTCCAGGCTATTGTATATAGTGCTGCTATGAATATTGGGGTGCATGTATCTTTTCAAATTAGAGTTTTCTTCACATCTATGCTCAGCAGTGGGATTGCTGGATCATATGGTAAGTCTATTTTTAGTTTTTAAAGTAATCTCCATACTGTTTTCCATAGTGGCTGCACCAAATTACATTCCCACCAACAGTGTAGAAGGGTTCGCTTTTCTCCACACCCTCTCCAGCATTTGTTGTTTGTGAACTTTTTAATGATGGCCATTCTGACTGGTTAGCATCATTTAAAGAGACTGCCTGAATGGGGACTTTTCCTAATTTCATTCCTTGCCGTATTCCAAGCATCTGGAACAGTGCCTGGCACATAGTTGAGTGCTCAATAGATATTTGTTGAATGAATGAGTGGGGGTCTAGAGACTCCTTAAGAAAATAAAAAACCTTCCGCCTTCCCCACTTAATCTCACAGTGTCTCTGGGAAGAATGAGAAGTTTTATTTAAACTTGTTATCTCCTGAAGAGAAACTGTTTTAATTTGCTTGTAGCTTGAACCTTACCCTCCTATTCATGATTTTTTTTCTATCAGCACTCCAACCCCTAAAAAGAAAGAGAGAGAATTCATAAAGGGTTTGTGCCATCAAAGAAATCCCCCTTTCTCTCACAGCCATCCTTCTGGGATAAACCTTAAGTCTGCAAAGCAAGGACAATGATGATTTCCTTCTTGCCGCCCAGAAGAGGACGAGGATGAATCCAGTGACAAGGCAAGAGCATGATGCGAGGCAGAGCTCAAGTCACAGAGATCCTGGGGGATGTGATTTCCTCTCTTCTTTCTAAAGCCTCTGTAAAATCTCCAGATTTGTGTTTCTGAGTTGTGACTGCTTTAAAGAATGTAAAATCGGAGACACTGCGTTTCCCACATGACTTCACCTCGGGCTATGGGTGTGAGGCACAGTGCAGCATCTTCATGGGTTTACACTGGACTCCCAGGCTTGGGGAGGAGGGTGATGAAAAAGGACGACTATGGGATATAATGGTAGCTCCAGTGGGATTTGGAGCTTTGTGCCATAACTTTAAGCAACTCAGGCAGGAAAGATTGGAGAAACTGGAAAAGAAATTGCAGGAAATAGAAGTGGAAGGAAATGCAAAACAGAGGAGGAGGAAGAGGAGAAACAGAGGGGACTCATGCTATCTTTAATACATGCTAAGCTCACGGGCTACCCCATCTACAGGGGCCAAGGGATATCTTCAGCTTAGTTTTTGGTCAGTTTAGGCCAATGACCTTCAAGTCTACACTTGAAGCAACCCTTAATCATTTGATGGAATTTCCTCCCTAGCTTATCTTATGTTGGTATAAAGAACTGGTTATGTTGTAAAAAGTTTGATATTTTTTCCCCAAGTTCCTGGCATGGGCATGGAGCGTCTCATATCCTTGGGATTTCCAGAGTGATAGAAGTGTCTTTGTTATTCATGAGCCCCTTGGCTCACTGTGCTATCATTATGTTAATGAGGTGACTCATTGCAGACCCCCACATAGCTTCTGAATGAGAGCTGGTCACCAGGAAGACCAACTGTGTGATTAGAGGGTTAGGTCTTTGAGCCAACTCAACCTCCAGGGAGGGAAGGGAGACTGGAGATTGAGTTTAATCATGGGGCCAATGATTTAATCAATTAGGTCCATATAGTAGAACTCTGGACACCAAAGCTGAGGGGGCTCTTCCTGGTCAGTGAACACTGTGATGTGCAGAAAGGGTGATGCACCCTCATTCCGGAAGGAGAGGGCACGGGATCTTCCCAGACCTCAGCCTGTGTGTCTCTTCATTTGGCTGTTCCAGGTCTGTATCCTTTGTAATAAAACTGTACTTGAAAGATAATGCTTTCCTGAGTCCTGTCAATTGTTCCAGCAAATTATGGAACCCGAAGGGGTCATCAGAGTTTATAGCCAATCAGCCAAAATTGCAGGTGGCCTGGGGGCCCCAGAAACTTGTGACTGGTGTCTGAATGGGCGCAGAATTGCGGGGCGCACACGCATAATCGCTCTGTTAAGAAGCCTGCTTCCCCCTCCCTCCTAGGTCTCCGAGAGTCAGCCTGTGTGCCGCCCATCTCTGTATCTCCAGCACCCAGCACCCCGCCAGGCACACAGGAGGCACTCAAGGAATGTTAGGAGAGCCAATAGGTCATGAAAATAAACTTTTGAGGGCGGCCAGCCCAGAATGGATAACTAAAGACAGAGAGTGAATTTCCCATAACTTCACTTGAAAAAATTATCAATCAATCTTTAAATAACGAAAGTTACACATACCAAGTGAATTTCTTGATTCTCACCATGAGCCCCACAGCAAAAACATCCCTCCTCAAAAGAGGGATGGGAGATTGTGGGGCACCAGCGGACACCTGGGGTGAAAATGCGAAGTTTGGGTACACACGTGTTTGTTGAAAGAGACGGAAACTCCTCAGGGGCAGGAGGTGCCTATTTCAAATATCTCAATGTGCATGTGGGTGCTGGAGCCAGGTGAGCAGATTTCATGAACAGTCCTAGAAAAATTACCCAGACCCTGTCCACAGGACAGAGTCGGAGCTACTCTCAGGAAAATGTCAAATCTGTAGGGAAAATGTCAAATCTGTAGGGAAAATTGACAAGCCTTTCTGTTCATTTTTAAGCACCAGCGCTGCAGTGCAGTGTGGCGGTGCACAGTTCCACATCCAGCCAGAGCTTTCATAAATCCCTTTCACATTCCAACCCATCTTAGCCTGGGGCCAGCCCCATTCTCAGCAGGACCTCCCACCAGCCTTCTCTTAATTCATCCTCCTCTGAGCAGCAGCCAGCTTTCTGTGTCGTTAATTGGTTGCAAGGTGGAAGGTGTGACAAGGAGAAAGATTAGATTCCGGAAGCTGCCGCAGCTTCAGGTTAGATGAGGATGGTTGATCTCTGGGAAGAGACAGGTTTCCAGAGAGAGAACAGATTGGAAATGTAGGGGCAGAGGCTTTTTACAAACTGTTTTCCAGCTCCATGAAAGAGTGAAGGAGAGAGAACTCAGGGGGCCGACCCCACAGGGATGGTTGGATTTGGGGATGACTAATGCAATTACCCATTTGGAATTTAGCTTAGGAAACGAAAAGAAATAGGCTAGAGGTGACAAGCTTCAACATTCTTTTTGTTTGTTTGTTCCCAATTCTTTCCTGGTCAAAATCTGGGAAAGGACGTGGGGTGAAGGGAGCGGAGAGAGGAGGGTGAGAGAGAAAGAGATTCTCATTAAAAGGGAGGGCTTAAGGAGTGTGGTTAAGGTGGCTAACGCTGGCCCAGGGGCAAGATGGGGTATGAATTTTGATCTCCCCAGATTTATGACTGCTGTGAAAAAATACGATTTTGAGGCAGGGGAGCACAGAAAGCCAGCCTGCTTTGTTCTGCTGAGTTGTTCGGGTAAGAGCAGAATAGACCTCACCTGAGCTTGGGAAGGCCTCATGTAGGGACCAGGGGAAGAAACCACCAGAAAACTGGCTTTAGACCGCCAGCTAGCAGGCAGCTGCTCTGTGAGGGCTCTAAGCTGTGCTGCGTCTGCCTCCTCCCTCACCCTGGCTTCGCCCAGCTCTCTCCAGGGATTGGACTCCAGGCTCTTCCACCAACTAGTTCCGTGGCTCCTACTTAACCCCACCCCAAAGCCCATCTGAAAATCCCTTCTGGGGAAAGTGCACCCACCCAGAGCCATGGTGGAGAGAACAGCCTGATCTCCACCATCAGCTAGGTATTTTTCAGCTCTAAAAAGACAGAGGAACAGTCATAGCCACGAGGAGCCTGATGGTGAGTGGGGTGAGCTGAGCCAGAGGATGGTGGCAACGCAGAGGAGAGAGTGCCCAGCACTGCCAGGAGTTGGTCAAGGCTAACCAGGTAGTATGTCTTGACTTAAGAGTTTAAGCTCCGGATTTGAATAAGTCCCTCAAAACCTCGTGGGGTGGGGGCCATGGCTCAGTGGTAGAGTGCGTGCTTAGCATGCACCAGGTCCTGGTTTCAATCCCCAGTACCTCCATTAACCAAAAAAAATTCTTTAAGTAAAAAAAAAGAAACTTCATAGGGCTGTTCTAAGAATTAAATTAACAGAATGACGAGCTGGTTCCTGATCTACTGAAGGCTTATGTGCTACAGGCTGTGGTAGGCACTTTCCATCTGTGAAGCTCATCAAATCCTCGGATCAACCCATGAGGCAGGGACAATCATGAGCCTCTATTTTTGAGATGAGGAAGCTGAGGCACCTGGATACCATCCGGTTAGTGGTGGGGCCAGGCCAGGACCTGGCCATCAGCTCCACGGTCTGCACTAAACTCTCCTGCCAGCTGCCTCCTATGATGACTAATGTTATGACTGACGTAGTGGTTAAAATGGGTAGGCAGGCAAGGTGAGGAAAGCTATTATAGGGCATGCAACTTGACGGCCTGGACCTCAGAAGAGGTCTCCTGTGATGTAGACTTGAGGTCATCAGCATGGGGGGACAGGTGAAGCCTCCAAGCAGCCGTAGGGGAGAGGCTCTAGGGATGAGCACAAAAACGGTCTCAGAGGTCTCCAGAATGGGGCACCCCGGATTCAGGGAGATAAGATGAGTCCCTTCTGGGGACAGAAGGGCCAGGGAGGCATTGACCAACTCTGTCCAGGAGGCCAGAGAACTCCTCCCCCAATTTCCCAAGGATTCATTCTATCAGTGGATGAACGGCTTCCCACTTTTCTCTCTGCTCCTCACAGCACTATTTTCCGGCCCTTTCTCCGGGTCCCAGAACACTGGGAGCCTGGACCTGGCAGTGCCCATTGCACCTCACAGTTCCGCTTGAAACAAATACTGCAGTGATGCTCACATGTTAGAGGTTCCCCTCCCCCATTTGGGTACCTCTCTATTAGGAAACTGACACACACAGGGTGTTCCAGGTAGCCCTCTCAGGAGATTATGTAAGCAATGAATCCTAAATTGAAAAATCTCAGACTGCTTTGCAAATGAGTTTGAACTCCTTTCTCCCACCTTATGCCAGCTGGCTCCTTTCCTAAGAGGATATAAGTAGCAGAAAAGTCAATAAAATCTGGATTTTTGCAAACTCATCCATAAACTGTTACCCAATCGCGTTGAATGGCTATTGGCACTCATTGAGGAATGCACACTCACAGTCAGGCAGGCACCTCCGTTTTCTCATCTCAGCAGCCCAGGAAGGATGACTGTTGGTAGCCAGTCATGTCCTTGGTTGAAAGGCTGAACCACTGGGTACAAAGCACCTACTCCCATGAGATCACACAAGCAGCCATTCTCAGATACAGGGGCTTGCTGAAAGAGAGGACAGGGCTGTGATGCTCGGTGCTCCTCAATCAGTGTATCTGGAGAGCCTATGGCAGGTATAGAGAGAGGGGACTGGACTGTAGCATCTCTCTCTCTTCTGTGCACTTACTATCCCAAATATACATCAGATCTCTCTTCTACCTCCAGGAAACTTCCATTAACCCATATCTTAAAAAAAAGACCTTGAATTTAATTTGGAATATGGACAATCTGGAGCTGTATCAGCCAGAATAGGCTGAATCATGCTATAATAACAAACAACCGTAAAATCTCAAGGGCTTATAATCACAAAGATTTATTTCTTGCTCAAGTATTCCATCCATCTTGAATCAGCTGTCATTGAACTCTATGCTGCCTTGATTCTAGGACCAAAACTGATGAAGTGGCCTTCATCTGGAACATAGCTCGTGTCATGATAAAAGAGGGAATTTGGCAACCACAAGCTGGCTCCTAATGTTTCCACATTGTGAGAACCAAACCACATTACTTATTGTATTAGCTACTTACTGCTGTGAAACAAATCACTCCAAAACACAGTAGCTTAAAACAATACCACTTATTATCTCAGAATTCCCGTGGGTCAGAATTTCAGGCTGTGTGGTTTCCTTAAGGTCTTTCACAAGATTGCAGCTGAGGCAGCATCATCTGAAGACTGGGGCTGGAGGATCTACTTCCAACGTGACTCACTCACAAGGCTGGCAAGTTGGCGCTGGCTATTGTCTGGGGCCTCAGTCTCCTCCACATGCATCTTTTCATGGGCCGCTTTAATGTCCGCACAGTATACTGGATGACATTTCCCAGATCAAGTGATTCTATAGAGGAAGACAGAAGCAGCCATGCCTTTTATAACCTAACCTTTGAAATCATACACCATCACTTCTACCATATTCTATTGATCAGAAAGGCCAGCCCTGACGTGGTGCAGAAGGGGTTACACAAAGGCATGAATACCAGAAGCCACGATCAATAGGGGTCCTTTGGCTACCTCACTCAATACATTTCTTCGGCCAAAGTAAGTCTTGTGGGATGGCAATGCTTTGCCCCTTTATGGAGAAGGAACTGAAATAGTCAACAAGCTGAAATATCACCTACCATGACTCATAGACTAAGTCTCTCTCTCTTTCTGACCCATCACTAATCCAAGGATCTGTCTTTTTCCTGCTGCTGATTCTCAAAGTTCTTGCCTCTACCAACAACTTGGACGAATCCTGCTCAATTTTCCTCAGTAGGCTTAGGGACCACTTCCAGGAGAGCCATAGAAACGTAAAACTAAAAAGTCCTCAGTGGAATGAAGAAGGCTAGAGCTCAAAGGTGTGATGACTCTTAAGTCTCTTGGGGAAGGTGTGCTCAGGCCAGCGAGTTCTGCAGAGAACAATTAGGAAATGATCGAGGTAGAGCTTGAGGAGGAGCTAGAAGTAGACTAAGCCAGACCCCTGTATGCTGGCCAGGACAGCAAGGCAAGGGTTTCAGGGTTCAGGGCAGGAAAAAGCAGCAAGTCAAATACAAAATAAACAGAATGGTGGAACCAGGAGGATGCCGTCCCTGAAGGCCGTGGTAAGTGC